CAAAAGCATCCTCCTAGAAGAGCCACCCAAAGGCATATACTTGCACAAAGCTTATGCATTTGACAAACTGATGGGTGTTCCCATAAAAATGTAACCAAGAAGTTCTTCTACTTATTGTTATGGTTGAGACATACAAATTCAGGCACCTTCATGCCTGAATGAAGCTGTATATCAGCTCTGAACAGAACTGGTGGAGAGGCAGGCACCAGAGCCTAGGGAGAACTCCACTGACCAGCACTCAGGAGCCCACTCCAGGATCTTCACACTCCCTTGACTTGATTACCTAACACTTTGCTGACTGTAACAGGAGCTCAGTCATCTAGCACCTACCCTGAGGCCTAATTTCAGGTTTCAGGCTCTGGCTGAAACACATACATGTTGCATCAAACCAGAAAACTGTTAGCATTTCAGTCACTCAAATTACAGGAAACAAAATGTGATTTAAGCAACACCTTGATAGACTTGGGTAAATCCCTCAAGGCTGACATACAGAGCGCAGTTGCAATTTGTATTAGTATTATATATTAGTTCCTGCTAATTCTTATCTGAAGTCCTTACTAAAGTTTGCACAATTTCTTTTCTCCTCTTATTCAAGCAAGGAGAGAGAAAAAAGGGTTAAAAAAACAGACCATGCTAAAGAAAGAGAATTCTGTATGTGCTTCTGAAAAAAATAAAAGAAAACAAAAGAAAAAAAAAAAGAAAGGCACTGCTGGAAGAATGAAGATAGCTCATCTGAGGAGTAGCTTCAACTCCAGAAGACACTTGTTTCTTCACACGCAACTTCCTCCAGGCAAGGCCTTTGATGGTTCTAGTGCTGCAGCACGAGTGCAACATGAGTCTATGCAGCTATCTGAAAGCTGCTACAAAACCAGTATTATTTGGTGCTGATATACACCATAGTGTAGGAAATAGTTGCTTGGAAAGCAAAAACTTCCTAGGTAGAGTTTGTGCCAGACACCACTTTCTCGTCCAGGAGAAATCTCATACAAGCCATTAGAGGGACTCCCTGAATTCAGAGAATTCCTTTGTTGCACCATTACTAAAAACTTCTTCTTTTCAGACATATATTTTATGCATGAGAATATGCTGGCCTTCCACAATTAATAAGCTCTTTCTCAAAGTTAGACACCTAAAACGATGCTACAAAAAAAGCCCCTTCCCTCTTGGCATTTCTGAGGTTTGCCACAGCTAGAACCTCAACAGGAGACACTCACCTTTTGGATGCCTCATCAACATCTCACTTGACCAGTGTCGAGCACATCAGATGTTACAGATGGAAGACGTTTCCTTTCAGTTTAAGTAATAGGCTCTTTGGTGGAGTTTTACAGATTTTTCTTGGATTATGGAGGATATATTGAGCTGTAGCCCTATATGTAGCACTGAACTGAATCAGAATGGAATCCATTCTGAGATCATTTACCAGATTCATGATTTATAATTAATAATTATTAATTTTAAAATATTTACCTTCATTAACCAGTTTCCTGTTACTGCAAAGGTCTTCATGTAAATCAAGGGTTAAGGGTTAAAGTTATTTTATTCCAACATAGATCTTTTACCTTTATATTTAGAAAAAGATCTAATAATCCAGTGTTCTGTTCTGACTAAAGTTGTCATTACATTAGAAC